TTGCCTGCATTGTGAAAAACCGTCGTGAATGCCACAACCTGCTGAGGCATTGGCTGCAGACGAAGCAAGACTATAGAGAAAGAGCATGGAAAAAGCACCATTTGTTGGAAAGGTGAGATGTGTCAGGCTAAGGGAAAATGTGGCAGACCTTTACCCTTCACATTAAATGCCCTAAGCTTTTGGAGTGCCATGCACATGTATGGTGTGTTTCAACACTTGGCAGCGTCTGACATGGCAATAGGTAGTGCTACTTGGCTTGTGATGCAACTCCGTGGTCCACTCTGGGAGGTGATGTTTATTCAGTCTTGATGAAGATATGTTTTGAGACGTAGGATGCCGAAGTGAGATGCTTGCCTTTTGGTGTGCTAAATAAGCTTCTTTCTGGGATAGAAGATGCTTTTCAAAGAATATAACTTGTCAGCCAGAAATAATCAACGTTTACATGGCTGTGGGGTTGCTCTCAGTGTAGAATGGTGAATAGAGTGCTGCCCTGTTGTCAGGACACCTGGCATGTCCATTCCCCTTTTAGCCTTACTTTTCCATCTGTTAAACAGAGTTAATATTATTTATTCTATTTTCAGTGCATATAATTGTGATGTTATCTGTTTAAAAAAGAAAGATAATCAGTACCATATAGTTCCACTGCACTGTCGTTCATACAAGAGAAAATTTACCTGCGAGTTATCTGAAGACTTATTTTAAGGAACAGGATTTAGAAGAGTTACAGGCTATCAGATGTGTTGGTATCTTTTTTCTTTTCTGAAGTGATTGATATTTTTATGTGAAAAGCTGTAGGAAACAGCCAGATATGATTATCTATTAAGCTTTGCTCAGGATGGAGCCAAAGTTCATGTTTCATATAGCGCTGTATGCATATTCACGCTAGTTGGAAAAGAGGGATAGCCTTATGGTATACCAGCACTTCAGACGTGCGCGCTAACACTTTTCCAAATGTTACAGCATTTGGGAGAATAGGTTCTGCCTTGGGACTTGTACGTTTTCGTTTTGAACGTTTGTGTATGTGTGTGAGACTTTTCCGCCATATGATTTCATGTATTCTGTGCACACACACTGTGCAAAATTGCAAACATGAAACATAAATGCTGAATGTTGTATTATTGTTCTCTGTTACAAAGCCAATGTTACTTACATGAGGCTTTAAGAAGTTCAGTACAGTCCTGGTTTTCCTGCTACATGTAACTGATGAGTACTTGTGACAGGAGCTGGCGAGGCAGGGCATTGCACAGCCGTTTCTGTGTGGCAGAAACGTGACTTCATTAAAAGTAGGAAGACCAAAGTCTCAGAGCTGAGTCAGGAGGGGATGGCCTGGTTGTCCAGAGTGCTCTGCCTGGGTAGGAAACTTGGGATAGTTTTAGCAGTAACTCAGTTTCATTTAAATGCCATCCCCAAACCTTGTATGCTTTTAGTATTATAAAAGCCAATTAGGTTATTGTTTTAAGGTGTCAGATGCCCCTAACAGGTTTACTCATTCAAGTGTGCTGAGGAATTAAATGCTTTCAGGCAGTGCAACAAGCTCCTTCGCTCCAGTGTTGCAAGGCAAGACAGTCATCACTGGTAAATGGGCCTGTATTACAGTGGTATTAGCATTTTAATGCAACTAAAGAGGAGGTAGATTGACTGTAATTTAGTATCTAGTTCCATGGCCTTATGCAGGTCCCCTCATCACTGCTCCATAGGGGCCGATTATAGTTGCACAGTGCATTTTGGAATCTAATTGGATTTACATGCAGTAATGTAGTCATGTCACAGCAATGACTCTGCTGTGTAAGCGCTATGAAATTCCGGTGCAATTAGTTATTTATATGGAAGCTATAGTTACAGGATAATGCATGGGACTAAGAGAGTATGCTAAGCTCTGGTTCAGGAATAGCAAATGGTTTACCTTTTTTGGAAACCTTTGCAAGGGAATGAGATTAAACTGGACCTACTTCCACAGAGGCATTTCTCCTCACTCTTCACCATAAAAACACAGGCCTCTTGCAAAGATCCAGCAGGCATATGACTCCTGTCTTCAGCTTCTCCCTTGGCTGACCGTCTGGGATTGGCATGTGTTTCTGTTTCTCTAGATCCTGCAAAGGCAGCAGATGTGGTGAGCAAAAGGGACTGGCAGCAGCCAGTGGTACTTCTGAAGCAGGAGGCCCATAAGCCATTCAGCTGGTGGTCTGCCTGCACTAGTTAACGTGCAGGAGACTGGACTTCTCCCAAAGACAGGCCTGTTTTCTCCATCTTGCTCCTTCCATTCACTTCTTGTTTCACTTGCTATCTGTTGACTAGATCAGCCTCTTCTTCCTCCCTCTCTCCTTGCCTCCAAGTGTCTTCCTTGCTGCTGGAGACTAGCAGGAGTCATGAATTTAGCTGCTTTTGCTCCAGCAAAGTGCGCTGCCTGCAAAGAGCTGATCAAAAAGCAGTGAATGGGAAGAGAAGCCAGTCCTCAGCACGGATCTGATGCGGTGAGGTAAAAAGAGAGAGGAGGCAGGACAGCATGCCAAGTGCAGCTGCTCAGGCAGCTGAGGCAGCAGGGCTCGCACACGCTCAGGCCCGAGGAAGGAGCCTTGGCCTCAGCCGTAACTCCAGCTTCCCCTGTGTTTCCCTGGTGACTGTAATTAAAGGCATCAGCTTGCTCAAGTCACAATTATACATGGTGGTTTTGCACTTTCTGCAATTCTCCCTAATGACAAAATCGTAGCTATTAACCAGAGAGAGTCTGTTTGGCAGGGGCTTCCTCCCCTTCAGGGCCATAGAGTAAGATGGAGTATTGCTATTGTTTGGCATTGAACGTGCTCTTTCATCCCTTCTGACACAGCACCTGCTGGTACCTACTGAAGCATTTAAGTTCTTCCTCTCTGTGGTGCTATAATTTCTTTAAAATATTATGACTTAAGAGGAATAAAAAAAAATAAAATTCCTCTCCCACGCAGACCTTTGAAGGGCTTGTAGGGATGTAATTATATGCATACACAGGAGGAGCAGGAATCCTATCATTCTGGTTATTTTCCTAATGATAGGTTTATACAGCAAAGTGTCATCTCTGCTCTAAAAGTTAGAGCTATCTTCTTCTCCAGGCAGCTGCTATCCCAGGATAAAGGCATCAGAGCATAGGACAACTGACGAAATAATTTGGCTCTCAGTTGCGTGTGCAAAAAATGAACTGTTCCTTGTCCCATTCCCACTGCCACAAAAAAAGAACAAGAACAAAGGGTAAGGGTGGGCACCAGACTGCCTGGCTGGAAGGTGCTCTGCTGTGGAGCAGTCACGCTGGTTCTTGTCCCAGTTGTGACCGCTTCAAGCCCCCCTCCAGGAGGGGCCTTCGCCTGCTGCAGCAGTGTCTCAGCTGTTCACATTAGCAGCTTCTGAACTTCTGCGCTTACCACCCTGAATGTGATGATAAAGCTGTACTGATTTGGAGCCGCCTTCATGCGCAGGGCTATAAAAAGGGGTAGTTCAGCAGCTGCTCTGCAGACACCTTTGCAGTGGAGACAGGAC